AAGAAACGTTAAAATAGACGTTTCTCTCTTAATCAATTCATATCAGTCTAGCACAGTTCATTCACACATACACTCACACATACACATACACATACATACATATATATCATATTCTGTAATAATAAATACATCGAGCTCTTTCTGTGGATTAGTATATAACTGGGATTATATACCAACGGATTTAATAACTTTAAATATATATATATATATATATATATATATATATATATATATATATATATATATATATATATGTGTGTGTGTGTGTGTGTGTGTGTGTGTTTTATAATTATATATTCGAAAAGTATAACATAAATATATTTATAAAATATATATAAAATATAATATTTATATAAAATATATTTGCTATAAAATATATTTAAAATATATGTGATTTTTATGTATATAAATATATGTGATTTTATAACATATTTATGTTATAATTTTAAATAAGTAATTATATTTGCTCTACTCTGTATTGAGCACTCTTTTAAGAATAGTGTTTGTTGGTTATTGGAATTTATTCCGTATACACCAATCCTATATTTGGGTGTGTACATATATATATATATATATATATATATATATATATATATATATATATCCAACACTCACGGCCTGACAATTGCGTCGAGCATGAAATAGGCTCTCGCCTCTGAGTGTTGAGTTCAATGTTTACTTATATATATATATATATATATATATATATGTGTGTGTGTGTGTGTACTACTGAAATCTCCTGACTATTTCGACGTATTCGAGTCCATTAGAACTAAGCAGCCAGAATAATTGTACTCAGAATGAAAAATTACCTAAGATTACTTCGAAATAGCCCACCGGAATCATTCACATTTGTCGTGATCGCAAAAGTCAATCCGTCTGAATTGCAATGGAAGGGCCTCGTTCTGGGAGAATTTGGTGTGAATTTTAATAAATATAAATTCTTTTTCTTTTGGGGTGAATTAATACTTTCGTGTGAATTGACATAAAAAATCCCAAGTAAATACAGAAATTCAACTATGACGAATAGTTTTAATAACGAAAGATACCTTACAAAAGCTAAACGAAGTCATTAGAAACAGGCAACCCTTGTTAGAAACAAAGGAAAGAGTACTGAACTGTTATGAAGTACAAATCTTTCTCTTTTCAAGGTGTATATCTTTCAGTTAACTGTGTGCATAGCTTATCGGCTTGAAAAATGAACGTCATTCCACGGTAATCTCGTCATTACATTTTACTATCGCGATATATGTACGTAAGCGATAAAGGAGATATATTTAGAGCAATGTAGTCGGGTTTTTTGTGGGTCAAATGTTAAATGAAAATGAGATTGTTTTTGGCAGTGATAATTTTGGATAGCATGCAACTACATCGGCCTCAGGATGTCACTGAAGGCAATGATTGGGTCGGAATGTTTTTTTTTTTTTTCTCAAGAGCTGCAGTATTTAACTTATATCTCCAGATATCATTTAATACGATCTCTGTTGCGATTTTTTTTACCTTGAACGACACGGAGAGAATAAGGGGGAATGAAATCTGAAAGACTCTGTCATGCAAAGTCTACATGTTATAAAAAAGGCGCTGAAACTGTCTATTTATGTGTGTATGCCTGGAATGTTTCGAGATAAAAATTAGTGAATGTCTTCTCGTCGTGGCATCTGACCAGTGAAAGTCTAATTAACACTGACGGGAAGGCAGATAAAATAACTATATATTATCGCATGTTTGACACTTCTTCCTCGTTTGTTGAAAAGGAATAGCGGTTTCCTGTTTTGGATTGGGTTTCCAGTTACTTTTAAACTCTTCTCATTTTCTTTCACTCCGAATAACCCCATGCATCTCAGTGGTATTATCGCCTTGTTTGGAAGTAAAAAATATTAATATATACATCTATCTTCAACATGAAAACAACAGACAAAAACTAAAAATCCTTGAAGCAATATACATCAAACAGTTGAAACCCAACCTAAACAAAATCAACTATGGAATCTCTACAAACATCTTTAAATGTCTATAATTGGTAACAGAAACATTGGTTTATACCAACGGCTTCCTATACTTAATACTTCTCGAATTCACTCTCGCGTGGTCATGTGTGACGTCATTAGCTGCGGTGCGATTTTCACTTCTAGCGTCTTATATGCACGTGTTTATCGTTGCTAGGAAATCATCCATGTAAACAATCACAGACTATCATCACTGTCTTATCCGTATATCGCTTAATATGTTGTACAGTAATTGACATCTTTGATAATGCCTTATGTAAGCCGAAAGCTTAGATTGGATTAAAAAAATATGGATCAATATTGTGATTTTCTTTAATTCATTTAATGATAATGTTATTACGCTTATCAGGCGTTATGAAAAGAATTTACATAAATTAAATAGACAACACTTGTCTATATTATTTAATGAAACATGTATGAATGAAAAAATGCAGCCTCAATACACACAATCTATCTATCTATCTATCTATCTATCTATCTATCTATATATATATATATATATATATATATATATATAAGTGGACACTGAAGACAACACCAAGAGGTGTCAGTCTATTTCATAATAAACTCAATCGTCAGGCCTGTGGAGTTACCCCACTTACTTTCCTAAAAATATACAGTCGCTAGGGGATGCTTTTTAAGGCTGTGGCATTCTGTCATTCTCTCTCTCTCTCTCTCTCTCTCTCTCTCTCTCTTTCTCCAGCTTTCAGATGTAGGTCGCACGTAGATAATAACGCTGAGGCTCCTTCGCTTCCCTTGGTAGTCTGTTAATTTTTCGGGAGACTGTCTTACAGACATGTCTATCACACACGCTTTTTATACCTTATTCATCACAAACACCTTCCCGAGTAGATAGATAGATAATGAAGAGACTGAGATAGACAGATCGATCATGAAGAGACTAAAATAGATAGATAGATAATGAAGATAGATAGATTGATGAAGAGACTGAAATAGATAGATAATGAAGAAACTAAAATAGATAGATAGATAGATAGATAGATAGATAGATAGATAGATAGTCTGTTACCACTCAGTATTCACTTTTATATTGACAGACTCGTAATCAAGATCCTCGTAATTAAGAACAATTACGCATCAATATAGCATCACTTAAAACTATATTTTCTATCTATCTATCTATCTATCCATCTATCTATCTATCTATATATATATATATATATATATATAGGTATTTATGTATCATATGCATTTTCCTGACACACAGTTTTGTCTTTCATTTCATCCTGAAGGAGCCGAAACTAACACACGTCACGCCGGCGAAATGCGCCGTTTAAAAGCTTTTCCACTTTCTCTCGTTATAAATGCTTTCGACTAACACACAGAAATGCATATATATATATATATATATATATATATATATATATATATATATGTGTGTGTGTGTGTGTGTGTGTGTTTGTGTGTTTGTGTGTGTGTGGGTATGTATTGTTCAAATATATATTATCTATCTATATATACACACACACACACACACACATATATATATATACATAGACACACACGCATATATATATATATATATATATATATATATATATATATGTGAAGGATGAATGTTATTGTTACTTTTATCTGAATGTATGGATTGTTTTATGTGTGTATCTAGAGTTATAGGAATTTTGTTATTTTCCAAACACGGTCAACACGTTGTGGCCCTGTTCATAGTTGATATTACTGAGTGTTGGCTTTTTTTCTTTTTAATTAATAATCCCTCCATTATTTTTAGCTATATTTTTACATGTAGCTGAGGCTATTTGCATTATCAGCGAGTATATTGCGGACAGAGTTTGGCATAATGCCTAAGAAGAAGACTCACGTTCCATCTCTCTAACCATAGCTCATATAGTTTTCATTTTAATACGCATAGAGACGTACCAGCCTTGATAATAGTTAAAAGAATAGCCGAAAGTGCTCTGAAATACAAGCAAAGTATTTGGACACTTCCTACGTAATTTACGTCCAGAAAAGAAGAAAGTTATACGGACATATGAAAAATTAGATAAAAAAAAAATCTAACTTGTATAAAAGAGGGATTACTGGTCAAATACACATCTATCTATCTATCGCATTCTGTTCATATCTATCTATCTATCTATCCACACACACACACACACACACACACACACACACACATATATATATATAAAACCCAGTAATTTTAAAAGTTACTCCAAAATTCGCTTGAGGATGAAATGGAACTAATGTCTTTAATTTAATTGCAAAATTAAATTCGTAGCATTTAGCTTCCATTTTTGAAACATGGTTAGAACTGTGTAGCGGAAAAAAACATATTTTAAATCAATTAATTTATAATATTAATGCTCTGTAAATTTACATCGAGCACTATTTTGTAAAAATAAAAATACCTATAAGAACACCGGATTATATATCTTACTGTTCTTTATATATATATATATATATATATATATATATATATATAGCCATAAGTCCCGGGTTCGAATCTCCCCACGGTTGCGAATCTCTCCCAGAGTGCGGCATCTTTGGTGAAAAGTGCCTGAAAAACTATACCACGGGTTGACCCAAGCCTTGTGAATGGAATTGGGTAGCTGGAACACTTGTGAGCCGTCGATAGCTATACTAGCACGAAGTCACAAGTCATCGTGACCGAAGGTTTCAGTGTGCTGGCATGTTCAGATTGTTGATCACGCTAGATAACGCTCTCTCTCCCAGAGACTGTAACTAAGGTCTGCTTAGCA